TGCTGCTGCTGCTGCTGCTGCTGCTGCTGCTGCTGCAGGTTTCGTTGTTAGCTGCTGGTTGCGTGTGCCTGTCTCCCCTTCTTTGTCTCTGCTGTCTCCTGGTGTCTCTTCTGCTGCTTGTTGCAAAGCTTGCTGCTGCTGCTGCTGCTGCTGCTGTTTGTCTCTGTTTAATGCTGCTGCTGCATGCATCAAGGCTAAGAAAAACTCCTCGTCTCTAACAGACTTCAGGCGACTCTCAAAGGCGCAGTAGCGCAGCTCAGGTGTCTCCGCAGCAGCAGCAGCAGCAGCAGCAGCAGGTGCAGCACCAGCAGCAGCAGCAGCAGACAAGCTAGAGACACTTGGGTTTTGCACAAGAGACAAAACAGCCTCCTGCTCGGCGGGATCCGCTGCAGCACCAAAACCCTAAACCCTAAACCCTAAACCCTAAACCCTAAACCCTAGACCTCGGTATACACCCCATACACCCCACAACGAAAGGAGACAGAAGAACAGAAGAACGAGTATGCAGCAAAGAAAAACAAAGACAGAGACATGCAGCAATAAATAATAAATATATAATTATAACAAATAAATAAAACAATTTGTTAAAACAAAGAGACGGAGAGGAAGAAGAGAGAACAGAAGAAAGAAGCAGCAGAAAGAAAAACTGCAGCAGCAGCAGCAGCAGCAGCAGCAGCAGCACCAACTCAACCAGCACTAGCAGCACTAGCAACAGCAACAACAGCAGCAGCACTTGCAATAACATCAGCGGCAGCATTAGCAGCTGCAGCAGGAGTAGCAGCAGCAGAAGCACCAGCATCACCACCAGCAGCAGCAGCAGCATCAGCAGCAGCAACAGCAGCATGTACCGGGTGCAACAGCAGCAGCATCAGTGGTAGCATCACCATCATCATCAGCAGCACCGGCAGCAGCATCAGCATCAGCACCAGCAGCATCAGCAACATCAGCCGCAGCAGCAGCATCAGCAGCATATACCGGGTGCTGTATGAGCGATGAGGTAGAGGATGTGGGGTTGGAGTGTCTGCGCAGCTCTGAGTGCATGCAGAAGGCTTCCGCCGCTGCAATGTGCTTTGCTGCTGTCTCCTTTGCTGCTGCTTCCTTTGCTGCTTGCACGTGCTGCAGTCTTAATGCTGCTAATAAAGCTGATTGTCTCCTGCAGCACTTCTCGCGATATTACAGCTGGCCAAGCACTTGGATACTGCTTCGTCTGCAGCAGCAGCAGGAGCAGCAGGAGCAGCAACAACAGCAGCAGCAACAGCAGTAGGTGCAGCACGAACAGCAACAGCAACATGAGCAGCAGCAGCACAAACAGCAGCACCATCACGAACAGCAGCAGCAGCAGCAATTGCATAACGAGCAGCAGCAGGAGCAAAGACAGCAGGCGTAGCAGTAGCAGCAACCGCACGATCAGCAGAAGCAGCAGCAGCACGAACAGCAGCAGCAGCTGCTGCTGCTCTTTTTCTTCTTACCTCTCTCCCATTGTATGTAATAAATATAACTCTTGAATGCCGTTTTAAACAAAAGTGCAGCAGCAAAGCCTCTAAGCAGCCCTTTATTCTACTCAGCTGTCTCCGCATGCATTCGCGTGTCTCCAAACAAACAACAACAGTTTGAACTGCTGCTGTGGGGCCCCCAATAATCTCATAGTACAAACCTCCTGCTGCTGCTGCTGCTGCTGCTGCTGGTGCTGCTGCTGGTGCTGCTGCTGTTGTCATTGCTGATGCTGACGGTGCTGCGGCTGCTCCTGCTGCTGCTGCTGCTGGTGATGCGGCTGTTGCTGCTGCTGTTGCTGGTGCTGCTGCTGCGTGAGGTCTCTGTCGACGAGGGCTGCCAGAAGCTGGCTCCCGCTGCTGCTGCTGCTGCTGCCGCTGCTGCTGCTGCTGCTGCTGAGGAGCTTCGGAGTCACCTTGTTGCAGCTCCGCTTCCT